TCTTTTTCTTCTGACTTAAGAATCGGCATACTTGATACATTTTCGTTAAATTTTTGCTCAATATCTTGAATTTTGAAAAGAAATTTCTTGCAAAATTCGGATTTTTGCGAATATTCGCGAGTTTGGGAACGAATATTACGGAAATTTATGAAATTTCCAGCAAAATTCGAATGGAAATATTCGCTACCAACATCACTAGGTTGGCGTTGGTTTCTATGTAATTTGACAAATAAATAAAGCTGTCTCTTTAGTTGTCAGTTTTGAGTCAATATTTTTTAATTCTCTTTTGTGTCGATTGCTGATTGAATTGGGACCAGAAATGGCTCAAAACGAAATAAGTAAATTACCAACAGTTATTCAGGCTGAGGCGACAAACGCCATATCCAAACTACTTCCATTTAAATCCCGAATAACTTTTGAAAAGGAATACAAAAGTTTTCAAAAATGGAAGCAATTAAAAAACGTGAGAGAAGAAATAAAGTTTTTAACCTATCCTCGCTGTTAAAGTATCATTTAATCTACCCTTGCGGTTAAAGTACTTTTTTATCTACTATTTTTGATAGATATAAGGCAATTTTAACAGTTGCTATGGAAAAAAATATATTATTAAATTGATGTAAAGTGTCAAATTCAACGAGTATGGTTACGCACTTTCTCGATATATAATTACATATAAGGTATGACTTTTAAATATTTTTGCATAATTTGGAACATTTGAAATTGTTTAAAAAAATATTTGTGTCGTTTGAGAAAAAATAGCTGTTCTAGTCGGAGTAACATGTCATTTTGTGCCTCGGCTGTAATGTCAAACGTACACGTACAGCCTTTCCACAAAAAGTGTCATTTTTACTCCTAATAAAACAATATATGTACAGGGTGAGTCAACGATAGAGTAAAGTCCATTATCTCATTTGTTTCAAGGTTTACAAAAAAATGTTTAATATAAAAGTTATAGGGATGGTTAAGATACACATTTTAAAATTATTATTGAGTATACAAGGTGCTCCAAAAGTGTGGCGGCTATAACATATGTTTTTTAAATGCAACATCCTATTTTTTATTTTATTTTTAGACTCTGCGTAAAATTCCATAATTTTTTTATATATAATGTTATATACCTAAAATTAATAGTTTTTGTAATATTTCAATTTATTTAAACAAATGTTAAATTGCAGTGTGGTAAAAAATTGTCAGTGGTCCCATTGTTTCTGAAGTTGGAGTACCAAAATTTGGTAGGAGAGTTTTATAGAAATGAAAAAAAAGATATATCTAAAGATATTTTAGTTAAATGATACAGGGTGTTCAAAATATATTTATGAATTTCAACTACTTAAAATTAGAAAATCTCAAATTTTTTAAATGGAACACCCTATATATTATCATTTTTTCTGATAGATTTGACAAAACTCTTCAACTTTAATTAAGTATGTCATATCCCTATTTTTAATAGTTTGCGATTTATTCCCATTTTTTCTATTTTTACCCATATTTTCAATACAATTACGCTATAAAATCATAGTTGCTATGACAAAACAAAATTATTTATTACTTACCTTTAACAAGTAGCTTCATAATTAGTTACAATTGCTGGTATTAGTTAAAATTAATTAACTTTACTCAAATAAACTAAATCGCAGTGGTGAATTCCTTGGTGTATTTCTATATTATGAAAGATGACACTTGGGATTTTTCGTCAGGGCGAATAGCCACAGATTAGGGTAATACTAGATTACCTAATTGCTGAAGACTACTGATATATGAATTTTCTTCAACATACAGTAAAGTTTTTTCTCGTAGTAATTCTGGTTTATAATTTGGTAAAGCCAATATTACTACTGCCGCGAAACCGTCCCATTACACACTGAAGATGTTTTCTAGATAATATACATCTATTCTTATAGTACCTACTTAGCAAAGTACTATATAATATACAGTACTGAACCAAAAAATGTAGTTTTCTAAGCTTGTCTGTGTATATCAATCACACTGACTAATTCATTTTAAGAAAATCTGTAACTATTATCTCTACCATTTATACTTATTACAACAAATTAAACTACAATTCAAATTTTGTTCTTAACTTGCTTAACAGACATGAAATTGTGATAACTATTACTTTTTGTCATGGCAACTATGATGTTATAGCGCAATTGTATTAAAAATATGGGTAAAAATTGGAATAAATCGCAAACTAATAAAAATAGGTATATGACATTCTTAATAAAAGTTTAAGAGTTTGGTAAAATCTGTCAGAAAAAATGATAATATATAGGGTGTACCATTTAAAAAAATTGAAATTCCTAAATATATTTTGAACACCCTGTAACATCTAACTAAAATATCTTTACATAGGTCTTTTTCTATATCTCTATAAAATTCTCCTACCAAATTTTAGTTGTCCAACTTCAGAATCAATGCCATCATTGACAATTTTTTAACCCACTGCAATCTAACATTTGTTTAAACAAATTTAAATATAACAAAAACTATTAATTTTAGGTATATAACATTATATATAAAAAAGTTATGGAATTTTACGCGGAATCTAAAAATAAAATAAAAAATAGTGTGTTGCATTTAAAAAAACATGTGTTATATTCGCCACACTTTTTGGAAGCACCCTGTATACTGTATAATAATTTTAAAATGTGTATCTTAACCGTCTCTATAACTTTTATATTTAATATTTTTTTGTAAACCTCGAAACAAATGAGACAATGAACTTTACTCTATCGTTGACTCACCTTGTACTATTTTTTTAAATTTTATTCAGGCTAAGGATATAGAAGAGTCAACCAAAGCTTGCATCTGTATTGACCAAGTTTATTTCGAATGTTTCAAAAAGCTAAACTGGCTTCAAGAACTTGGATTCAAGTAAGATCAATCTTTGGATTGTCACGGGGTTTTTATCAGGATACTGTCTTCTCAACGAACAGGTCTGAGACCTCACTGGATTGAAGCTAAGAAACAACGGCGAATACAGATTCTGTGGGGAAAATGGGAAAACACCAGAACACCTTATCACTCTGAGTGCGTCCAGAGAACCGTTCGTGAAGAAGCAGTGTTAAAATAAAAAAAAACTTCATTAGTTATTTTTCATAATGACGAGATGGCTTTGGTGATTATTGTTGTGTACGATTGAATATTTTTTTATTATTTTTATTATACTTAGTTGCCAAGATGGGAAAGCATAACACAATATATTTGCAGTCTCATTAACAGTATGAATCGACGTCTAAAGTTAGTTACAGCAGACGGGGAGGCACTATAAATTATTACAGTATTTTTTTACCAGTTTTTGTTTGTTTGTACACTTATTTATTACAGTTATTTTTTTTTTTTAATATCCCTAGTTCTGTTAGTGTTACTAATATTTATTAAAACCAAGTTCGTTTTAAATGTTTTTTTAATTTTAATATATAGAGTCTTATGACATTACGACAATAGTCACCAAAACAATCTCGTGATATTAAAAAATAACATCATAGAGTAATGATAGTTGAAAAAATTGCAAATTGTTGGTGGCAAGTTCATTTCGCTCTTAAAAATTAAGAGGCATGTGTTGACATGAGTCAAAAAACAAAATGCTCAGGAAACGTGGTTCTGATCGAAAAATAATTTTTTAGGAAAAGTTACTGACTAAATTATTGTACAGTGTGTTTTAAAGTTAAGGTAAAAAGCAACCCTTAAATTGACCCTATACATATAATAAACCAAGTAGGTACTAAAGTTTATAAAAAACTGAGTTAAGAATTAAAGTTGACAGATTTATATACAGTTGTCTAAAAAATTCATGACACACTTTAAATTTGACGTAAAAATTTTAGTTACGTTTTTTTTGCGTCTGAGTATATAAATGCAACTATTCAAGAACATTCAAGTTTTTTAAAAAAATATACATATTAAAAATAACTTGTTTATTTTCCAGATTTTTTTTCAAAAAATTAACCCGTCACAAACGTATTGACATTAGTTCCTAAATGATTTGGTTACAAAATCTATATCTTACAGAAATGAAGTAGCTATGTGCTGAAATTTTCAAAATGTCGGCGTGTCAATTGACATGCGCCAAAAAATATGCGCAAGAAAATATAAATGGGAGAGAATTACATTTATATATTATTGTAATAAAAATTTCATTACGGTTTCCATAACAATATATTTAACACAATATAATTTTTATATGACCGTATATTATATCAATATAAATTATCAACTATAAAAATCCTTTTCTATATAGTTCCTGTTTAACATTCTAATAATTTTATTACCATCACAAGCATTTAACTAAGTATAATATAGCTGTAGTTAGATTTAAAAACATTAACATTTCACCAATGCCATTTTGCAGTTGCAGTTTTCAATATAAATAATATTATATTTGATCAAACGTCACAAAAGCATTACTTTTTGCGACGTGATTGACACTATAAAAAAGTTTTAACGCCTAGGCATAAAAGTAAAGCACTTTTACGCCTAACTATTGTTATTAAACTGACATAAAGTGTCAAATTCAACGAGCGTAACCATAGTTTCTCGATATATAATTACTTACAAGGTATTACTTTTAAATCTTTTTATATTATTTGCAACGTTTGAAATTGTTTAAAAAAATATTTGTGGCGTTTATAAAAATAGCATTTTCTATTCGGAGTAAAAATGCACTATTTTAACAGATGAACTGAATAACAGTTTGTAAAAAGAATTAATTGCTGAATAAAAATACATATTAAATGAAAAATTAAATAAAAAAATAGCAAACTAAAGTATTATACAAATTTGGTGGATACAGAGGGAGAGTCAATGGAAGGTTTCGCGCTTTCTCATTTTAGAGACGCACATCTGCCAAAGAGCGTCTCTAGAACTCTGGTCTGTTAATTATAACATAATTAATGTTATTTTTATTAAAATAAAGTAAAATTAATCAGATTTTTTTTATAAAAACCGTTATTTTACGTAAAACCCTCACCATATTACTGAAAATAATTAATCTGACTTACCCAGAACTGAAAATTCATCCAAAACAACTACTTTCTCCGAAGAATTGACAGCAGAAACATCCAAATCCACACGATCCTCAACGATTCGACCTCAGAACTTCTCAGAATGGTCCGAATTTGGGTAAAAATCAACGGCCACCCGGCATCGGCTTTCGGCGTGAGGCGCAGAACGGATTGCCGCGGTTCGGAATCCATTTCGACCGTTCGCTTGCCGCTATCGACGGCTATTATGCGTCGCCGTGGTCGGCAGGGTCGCGCGCCTCAAGCCCGGCCGGATCCAGGGGCGGGCTGTGGCAAAGTAGAAAGGAAATTAATGTACTGAACGGTGTGAAAATGTACTAAATGTAGATACATAAGTGCACGTTTTTTTGAAAAAAAAAATTGATTTTTTTTAGTTAAAAAACATAATTTCTTGATCGATTTTTTTTTAGTTTTTAGTTAAAAAACATAATTCCTTGATAATATCACAGTTTAAAGAATATAAATATATCAGTTGGCCCACTCTTCGCCCGTATCAAAATTCCTCCCGCCGCTCCCCGCCTGTCTTGTAGACTTGGGTCAGTCTACATCCGTTGCTCGACGTGTACACAGCGTTCCAAGTTTATTTTAGTTTTGTTTTCGGTCCGACGCATAGGGTGAACGAAAAATAGTGTTTTAGTTGTTTTGTTCGAATTGTGAATAAAATGTCTACTAGAAATATTTGTGCAGTGGATGGTTGTGAAAGTAGAATGACAAACAATATATGGTTCTTTAGGCGCCCAAAAGATGAAGGAAGGTATACGTTTATATAGTATAGGTATATAATAATTAAAGTATTAGACATATTAAGTATATTATAATTATGGAAACCCAATTATGAATAAATTGTTTTAAAAATATACATATAAATTAAGAAAAGAAACTAAATTTCATCAAACATTAAAATTTATTACACAATTAACTACTAACAGTCATAATTACTGTTCATGATAATCATAAAATTTAGAAAAAAAATTGACAATGGCAACACAAGTTGTATGCAAAGGTACTTTTATTACCTTACGATAAAATTTGAGCTTTGCAGGTAAGTAATTAAAGTAAAATGCAAGCATCTATAAAACAAAACATCATATAATTTAAGAAATATGCAAATATATTATTATATATATTAAAAAAATGAACTTATTATATTTATTTAGAATACATTTTTCATATGGGGTTTCCATAATAATTATTAATAATAATTCCCCTATTGACAATTCCATATTCCAAATAATTAGGATGTAATAATATATCTAATATTTTATTATCAATGTATTCACCATAATATGTATAAGTAGAGTCTGATAAGGAAAATAACTTGTAGGTGGGGAGCCTGGAAAAGTGCCTTAGGATTTATAGCATCCCACAGATATGAAAATTATACACCAGAACAATATCATAACCGTATTAGAATTTGCGGTTTATGAGATATTTTATTAAATAATAATAAGAAGAAAGTATTGATCAATTATTAAAGACGCCCAAAAACTGTCAATTAATAAAACTAGTGCTGTATTTTTATTTTTCTACTTGCTATATTAAAATTCCTTAGTATTTTTAGTTGATCCCTCATATACGGCCAGCGTTCTGACTGATAAAATAGCACTGCCGCTGCACCCGGTAAACGTAAATATTGTATTTTTAAAAATTTCCAAAATTTGCAATTGTACTAAATTTAAGCTGAGTTCTTTCCAAAACACTTTTACGTCTATTCGGCAAATAATGTATTAAATTTAGTACAATTTGCCTGAAGCTTCTGCACTGCGAGCGGAAGGCCGAAAGCTTGTCGGCTGGTCCGCTCGAAGACCATTAACATAAATTATTTCGGGGACGACGTTTAATATCGTGTCGTAAACCGGTTGGGGGGAGGGTGGTAGCGTTCTTTTCTCTCCTCTTTCGGGGTGGTTTTAGCTGTGGAAAGATACAGGGAGAAAGTTCATTTCAGTTACACTTTTTTCCAACATTAAAAATGTAAGAAATATAGGTGTTCAAAAAAAATCTTTATATAAAAAATATTATATAAATAAAAAATCATTTTTCTTAGTTTTTTTTAATAGAACACCCTGTATATTATTTTTTATTAGATAGAGAGTTGAAAAATGAACATTTTTTGTATTTAAAGTATTTCAAAGATTTTAATGGTTTCGTAGATACATGCAGTATTATTTCATATGGCTTTTTCAAAGGTAATAAAATCATTGGTTTTAATAAAATGAAACAAATTAATCTTACTAAAAAAATTTTGATACATCTAAAACCGTGTTTTATTAAAATACTAATATTTCAACGATGTTTCACAAGGAACCAACCACAGACTCAGTACTATTTATCTACAGGGTGTTCAATTTAAAAAAAAACCGACCATCTCTGATAACAGCCGTATCAAAGTTAATGGCACGAATATCGAAATACACCAAGAACTTCACGACTGTGACTTTAGTTTACTTGAGTAAACTTAATTAATATAAACTAATAATGACGATTGTATTGTATTGTTGTCTAATTACTAAACTACTTGTTAATAATTAATAATAAATATTTTTGTTACAACTTATGATGATTTTGCATAAATTAATTAAAAAAAGAGTAAAAATTGAAAAATTCAGAATATATTAAAAATAGGTATATGATATACCTTATAAAAGTTGATAAATTTTGTAAAATCTATCAGAAAAAATGATAATATATAGGGTGTGCCAATCAACTGTGGTATTCATTGACGAGACTGTGTCCTAGTGGAAACCTCATGAAAATCCGAAGATTGTTCTTACATAAATCAAGAAAATTCTTTGATTTTTCTCGGTCGTAAGTTCTAAAAAAACTGGTTTAAATAGAGAACATGACCTTCTGATGAACAAAAATAATATGATACACGCAACATAAAATAATACTATAATATAATTATATTATCATTTTATTCACATTTTCTTATGCCGGCGCATATTATTTAAAATTTCATAATCGCCTGGTTAGAATTATTTTTCTTGGTAGAAAACAAACTTAACATATTTCAATGTTTCAAAACATTTTAGTTTTGGGGATTAAAATTTTTGAAAAACGGGTAAATGTTTTTATAAATGTTGCCAAAATATTCCTTTGATATATTTAGAATTGGATAGGCTAAATTCAAGCCTAATGTTTTGTTTTATATTAAGAAAATTTATTAAATATACTTTTTATATAGTTTGATTGTTTTTTTTTTCTAAATCCCATTTTTTTCCAATAATAAATACATGATCGAAAAAAAACTACGTCAGATATAGCTATGAAATAAAGATCGCTGTCATTTTATATGTAAAATATGTATTATATGAGGAATGTCATCGATCATCATTTCCAAACCAACTGGACGCCATTTTTCATCATACGGTACATTACAAATATACAGGGTGAGTTTTAAAGAGGTGCAAATATTTTTAGGGCTAGTAGATCTCGATAAAATAAACATATTTTCTCTTTACCGTTTTTCAAATAAGTCCAAAGTACCTACTTTGGAAATTTAAAAAAAAAATTTTGCTTAAATTTTGAGAATTACCGGATCTTTTCTGGGGTTTCTTGCTTGTAAATTTAATCTACTACCTATGTTGCCATATAATCAAGAAATTATGTTTTTTAACTAAAAACTAAAAAAAAACAATTTTTTTTTAATTTCTTATTTTCTAATTTTTTTTCGTGAAAAAAACCTCATAATCGTGTTTCTGGGGTCAAAGTATACTAACCCCTAAAAATATTTGCACTTATTTAAGACCCACCCTGTATATACTGTTAAGACGTGCATTATAAACTTATTTTTATTACACGTAACATATAAATTAAAATTATTAATTAATACTGAGATATACGTATAATTTAATATGTTCTATAAATTAAAAATAAGAAAATGATCATCATGTTCTAATGAATTGTGATAAGAAACTGTTTAATTATCTACACATACATATACAAAACCATGTTAATTTCAAAATATTGAAAATATGATTCCAGTAGCTAAATTACATTATGTTCCTTATTGTAATCACTAAAAATCTGCCAACAGAGTTTTTTACAATTTCAAAATATCTAAAAGTATTTCACTAAAACTGTTCTGCTGAAAAACATATTTTTTAGACTGAACATAGTCTAACTCTGGCGTACGGATATATAGACATATCGTCACAGCCTACTCGAAAGGCGACAAATATGAAATTTAACACGGGCAACCCCCGGGACAGGCAGCCTTTGCCCCTCGCTAGGGCCGGGCGAAGGGTATGACGTCACCATCGATCCCTTTTCAGCGAGAGAGGCAGCTGTCATGTCGGCAGAGGTGGAAAACGGGTCCTGAACGAGAGCTGTCCCAGGCAAACGAACGGGCTGTCGATCTGTGCTCTCGTCAAAATCTCGGGACTTGATACCGCCCCGTTCGTAATGGCGGGTGGTGTATGATTTCCAACGGATTATGAGCGCGGTTTGGGTCAAAAATTTTCTTTCAGATAAATCGTATTTTTTTATATTGTACTTTAGTTTTGTATTGAGTTTTAAGATTATTTTTTTTTCGGTTTTTAAACGACATCAAAATCAAATTTCTCATGTCAGAAAACTCCCAGACACAAATTATCATCCAAATATTGACATTATCTCAGAAATTATTTGGAATATATCGAAACAAAAATGAAATTTCTACACCCTGTATCTCCAAAACTACGTATTTTAGGACATACATTTATACAAACTTTTTTACTTATTTTCATCTGCAGAATATGCTGCCGAAATTTTCGGAATACAGTTGTAACGGTACGGACCACCCTGTATAATTATAAATAAATCTATACTAATATATAAAATCCTTAAGTGACTGACTCATTGATTAATCACGATCCTGCTCAAACCACTCAACGTAAGAAGCTCAATTTTTGCATACAGGTTGATTCTAATGTGTAGAGGTTCGATAAGTAGGGATTTTTTGAAATTCCAGTTCCAAGGGGGTGAAACCACCCCTCAAATATTACAATATTTTTTATTTAAAAACGGTCAAGTTTCCGAAAAAACGCTTAAACACGTATATTTTATTTTGTTGTTTTACATATTTTTAGATTTTTTAAAAATTTATACAGGGTGTTTCAGAAAATATGAAACAAAAATTCGTGCTTTGCTTGTTATATAATAATATCGCCATATTGTTATTTCTCATGCTGACATAAAGAGAAAATT